GAGCTCCATGTGGTGGAATTCTACATGTAGGATCGAAATATTTCTGGAGTTTGAAAAAGTGAGTGGGCGATGATTCCGAAACATTTCTTTCTCTTTTTTATGTTTCAATCGGAAATTTATGATACAGTTTTATTTTAGAAGTTCTTCTCAGCAAGAAAAGACATCGTATGGGTTTTGGGGATACGGTACTCATTGATTATGAGCGCTCATTTTCAAGAGCTTGTGAGGCAGATAATACAGGAGAGAGAAAGACATCAAATAAAACCAATTCAAAGTATGAATGGCGAATGATTAACTGTGTGAGCTGATCAAAAAGAAACAGGCCATAATTATTGGGAAAGTGATCAGTTGTGGGAACTGTGGAAATGTTTCGTGGGAGTTTCAAAGTAGATTGAGCACTGCGAAAATTCTCGAGTTCAATGTATGAACTCTTATTTACAACTTTGATAAATTCCAAAAATTTTGATATTACCGATAGAGAACTCCTCCGAAATACCGTATGCCTAATAAAAACCTACCAAATTCTTTAACTTTCAGCTCAATTGTCTCGGTTTTTATGAGAGATATCAAAAATATATCAAACTGTAAAATATTTGTGATATTATGATAATTAATTATCAGTTGCAAATTATTGATATGTTTAAAAGGAATTGAGATAATTGATCTAAAAGTGCACTTATGGTATTTTGTTATCACAGAACTTTTAATCTAGTATTTCTGAATGGATCTGATGTTGTTCCAGATTATTATAATCACTTATTTTCAAACTCTTAGCAAAAGGCAACTTAATAAAAGCCGATCACTGTGGCACGCCCCTTTTTATTTACATAAACCAAATTAAATCCTCACAAAAAGGAACTCAGAAAGAAAAGCTATCGTAGTTTTTTTTTATTTTATTTTCTCTCATAAATGAGGTCTGAAAAGAAAGAAGGTCATAAATCTTGGAAAGCGCTACTAAAAGGATACCCAAAAATCTTATTTCATTTCTTCACGCTATCTTTCCGAGATGGATGAATGGCTACCGTAGTCTCATCTCATTTCCTTTTTTGAAAAGGAGCTTGCGTACTCGAACATTAATCTGTTAGGTGTTTCTATATCCTTTTCAGATGATTGATATTGGAAGAAAATTGTAATTGGAAAATTCCTCATTTCAGGTTTTACCAAAAAATCTGCTCTTATTATAATAAAATTATTGTTTCAATCCAAATCATCTGTTTTTTTCAGACACTCTTCTTGGGCACCCGACTCGTCTCGGTTACGAAATGTCGGTTTGAATGCACAAGCTGCAATCATAGGAAAATCATGTGAGTTTTAAATCAATAGCTTATTTCACTTTTTTCATTCTGAATTTTTTTCAGATAATCCTTTCAAAAAAAAAGATTCAAATTGCTGCATCTAACAACTCGTCGTCAACAGTCATCAGTCATCAGTGACACAGTCATCAGAACATTGTCAAGAAATCAGAATTCAATCAAGCTTCATCTACTCGCTCTTTCTCTTCACCTCTTCTACTCGTCAGCTGGCGCTGCGCGCTATCACGGACCAAAAAGATCTTCCTGGTGAAGAATTAGCAATTTCATACGGGCAGTACAGTGCCAACTGTACATTAATCTATTTATTTGGCCTTAGTTAACCGGTTAGTAAAAAATTTTGAAAAACTCCAAAAATATTTCTCACCCCTACCTTTGCTGCCTAGCTCTCTACCTTAGCTCTGTGGACCTTCCTTCCAAGGAACTGTACAAAGTACCTCACAGTAGTCGGTTCTTCTCAGAATTGAGCTACTACTTTTTTTTGTATTACCTCGCCTTTTGCCGTCACCTCTTTTGTAACTACCCTCACTCCTATACTCATTTTTTCCCACACCTCACGTATTTTTTGTATATTATTTAGCGCCTCATTCACTTATTTTTCATTCCATAGATATTTTGCACCCCTCATATACTCCCCCTCTCACCTCCCAACCACGCTGGTCGTGTATTACCTCATATTTTATTTTTCTCACACCCTCATTTTATTTGGTATTGGAAAAACCAAACCGCCTCTGGCTGCTCCAGATCTTTTTAGTACAGGTTCCTATTCTAATCTCCCTTCAATATAGTCGGGTTTAGCCCAAAACATGGAAGTTTTTCGTGTCTTGAGAGCTTGAGGAAGTACCGATTATTGAGATCTAAGTTCTTCTAGACATCATGACTTCCATTGTTTAGGTAGGCTTTGTTTCCAAACTGGCATTAGAAACTCCGGATTGCAAATCATCACAGATGAGGTCCAATTCGAGTTCTGCTCCTTACTGGTAAACATAGCATTTGGTACATCATAGTGATGGCTACATCATAATGATGCTAAACAATATTTGTTTCATTTTATTACTCCCATTTTTAGTAGAAACAGTTATTTCTCACCAACTGTTACATTCCAAGTAGAAGACTTTGTGAGAGGTCTTGTATTTGAGTCTTCTTTGAAAATTGTATTCCTTGATTGATGTTCTTTTATTGTATGTTCTGATTCTGATGACACCTGATGACGTTTTTGTTGAATAAAGTGATTTGAATCAAACATCGATTGACGAACACAATAAGACATCATTGACTATTTGAGCCATTGTATAGAGAAGGAAAGGTGCGCAACTAGTATTACAACTGGAAAATTCAATATTTGCAGCAGTAAACAGTCTTAAGCGCAAACAGACGAAACGTTCAGTACAAAACTTACACACTAACAACACATTTTTGTCAGTTTTCCATTTTGTCACTTGACATGTTTAAATTGTTGCCTACTATTTTCTTGATGGTGCTACTGGCGATTTATGTTGGAAGTCAGATGACTTGCAATCCAGTGTGTACTCCACCAGCTTTCTGTGATACTAATACAGGTAAGTATTGATTACGGGTGTCTGACAACAGAAAAAAAACTCAGTTTGACTTACTAAGTAAAAAATGGTCTAATTTTTTTACTTAAAAATTATCCCAACATTTTTCATACCTTTGAAAATTTCAAATTTTGCATAGTTAACATGAAAAGAGACAATTTCTTAAAATTAACACCGTTTTCAGCCAGTTCTTATATCTTGTCGAATGCACATAAACAAAAACAGTTTTCTAGAAAACGAATTATCGGAAAATAGCTAATTTCGGTATACAGCAATAGTTTTTCCCGGTAAACTGTTTTCTTGTATTAGATATTAGAAAAAAATTGTTCACATATGAATTTTTTGGCAAATAGGTTTCAAACTTTTTCTAATGCTTTAGCTAATTGCCATCAGTCGTATAATCAGTCACTCTAATAGAATGAGTCCCATAACATCACATTTTTATTTCGGATCTTGTGAAAGATACGAAAAAATTATCGACTGACAAAAATTGGTGATTTTTTGTGAACATGTTTTTAGTTGAACACATTTTGATATTTTGCCTAGAAAATGAATTATATAGACTTAATTGACAGTTTGAAAAGCAGTGTTGTTGATTTCAAAAGATACTTTTTTTCTCCGAGAAACTCAAAATCGATAAATTTTTCATTATGGCAAGTTACCGTATTTCCTACAATAAAAGCCTATGGGCTTCTTTTTCAGGGTGAGCTTTTCTTAAAGGTGGGCTTAAATTGAAGAGTGGGCTTCTCTTATTCGATGACTTATTTTCAAAAAATTTAATTTAAAATGCAGAAATTTTAGAATTTGAAAGTTAAGACTACAGAAATTCATTGTTTTGGAAAATTCTAAATTTTTATTTTTCGATTCTAAGTTTCAAAAATTTATGCAATTGTGTATTTATGATCGGTCAGATATCATTAGAAAAAGTAACAGAATCTCATTGAAACATATCACTCAAAAAACGGACCGCGAAACTGTGGTATTTTCTCTCTCATAAGTCTTGAAAAATACAGTCTTGAAAAAAGTTGCTTCGTTGGATTTTCAAATAAATGTTGACGAATACTAAAACTAAACTTTGATTTTATTCAGTATAATCTGAAGTTTTTGAAAAGTTTGGTAAATTCTGGACTTCTTCTATAGGACTCCGAAGATCTTTCACAGAAAAAATTTGGTTTAACAATTTGAAAGCTGCGATGTTTATCTTTTACAGAGATTTATTGAATTTTAGGAATCTGTCGTAACTTCCGCCAAGCTTTTAATGGGCCTGTTCTCATCCAATGCGCCAACTGTCCAGCTGGAACGCAATGCGATTCCAACACTGGAATCTGCAGAACCTTCCGTCAGCCTTGAGTTTTTCATTCTAAATAATTGTATTCCTTTCATTTCGAAATATCCTATTTTCTAGAAAATATCTGCTCTTTTTCAATAAATCATTGTTCTGCTCTCAAAAAGTTTTATTGTTACATACGTAGACTCGTAATGTTTGATAACAAGATTTGAAAATGTCGAGGGGTGAATAGCTAAGATATCGATGATAGAAATAAATTTGTTAATGAACTATAAAACAGTTTTGAGGGTTCGGATGAAAGTGTTGGTCAAATATGACATGAAAAAGTCGAGACAGGTTCTATAATAGATCTGTTGAATGACAAGGTAGTTTACTGAGTGGATTACAAGATTGTCGTTGGTTGCCAACGTGAACAAACAGTTAGGAAAGATTTTGACACAATAGGGGTCAGAGAGGTGTGTGAAAAACAAAAAGTGAGATTCGAAGGTAGTGTTTTGAGAATTGGATTTGTTGTTGAAAGGGATTAGGGGGTGGGGTTAAACGATTCACGAGTGTTTGATTGGATAGTCTGGAACCATCAGTCCCATCTTCTCTGGGGTGTAGAGATGCTCATGGGGACCCTCCTCGATACCTGGCGATGTTGATTTGGTGGAGTGACCGTGGTGGACAGGGCGGGCATACGGATCCTGAAAGCTTGGTTGGTGTTCGAAACGGTTATAGGTTAGACAAAAGAAACTCACGTTTTGGAGGTAGTTGGCAAACAAGCTCTGGCAGATTTCCTTAGTCACCATTGCTCCGGCATGATCATCAATGAAGCGCATCAGAAGGACACCGTCTTGTTTGAGTCCGTGGTTGGCGAACTTTCCGATTGGAATGCGAGACGACTCATCCTTGAAGTTGTGGAGTGGCCCGCTGAGCAGGGATCTGATGTAGTTGTGGCGAGAGCTGTCGATGCTTAGTCTCCAGATTGTGCAGATGGTGTTGATCAAGGTGGTGATCAGAACGAAGACGAACCAGAACCAAATGAACAAGTAAATCTTTTCGTTGAACATATTGATCATGAGTACGCATTGGACAGTGTAGCGGTGAACGTTGGCAAGCTTTCGTACCGAGAAATCGCAAAGTGTGACACGTGGGAACACTCCAGAATCCTGCCATTCACGTCCAGCATACAAGTCGGCAAAAGTGTGGAATCCCCAGAGGAAGGTCTCGTTTCCAAGGAACTTGTTAAGGATGATGAATTGGATGAGGACGTTGCCAAGGTACATAAGCTTGATGCAGATGTAGAGCAATGAAGTCATCGAGCCGAGTCCTTTTCCGAAGCGGTAGCAATAGAAACGACCGTATTCGTTTTTGGAACGAGTCTCCAGAATGTCTTCAATGAATCCGACCAATTTGTTGATTCCCTTCTTTCGAGTCTCAGAGTCACTGGAACGAAGAGCTTCGGCCTCGCTGATCACAGATGGGAAATCCAATCCGCATTGCTTGTAGAGAGACGACCAGATCCACGATGGTAGGTAGAACATGAACGCTTGGATGGCAAGAACGATCGGTACCCACTGGTAGTAACCGATTTCGGCTTTTTGTCGGTCCTCAACGTCGCCGGGAATCTCGGAGCGTTCCGGAATGAAGAATGTATTCTGGATGAAGCAGTAGTCTTCTGCGTATTGCTCCCAACCGCCCTTAAATTCCATTGGCATCCAACATTGAATGGCTGATCCTACGTATCTGTAAAGAGAATATTGTTTATTATTGTTACTCCAACGTCTGTTCCAAGGGGGGCATTAGCTCATCTGACGAAAGCCCATATGACAGAAACCCCCTGTCTTTCCGATCTATCAATGACACCACGTTCACACGTACATGCGCGTTTCCAAAATAATTTATTCATACAGTGATCCTAGCACACTTCCTTCCTACCACCGCGATATCGAAATCAAAGATGTGCAAACACAAACACCCCGCTTAGTCTATCCTAGAGCACTTGGTTCTCGGCGCAATTGAACCGTAAAAGAGCTTGCTCTTTCTGTCCAAACGGAAATTAGTTTTTGGCAAAGGAAACCCCCGCAAGGTACGGTATCTGTAGATATGTTCCCCGAAGTTTGGGGCTCAAACTTACTGTTTGCAGGAGACCATGATGGAGAAAAAGGCGAGGAGAGTGGCGGTGGTGACATAACTGAGACGATCCACGGCATCGTCGAAAGTCTTGGCTTTGAATGTATTGGAGAGCCACCGGTCGATGAACGGGACACCCAACATTGCTTCTGAAAATCGAATATGAATTGTGAAATGAGAAACTGTATGGATTTATAATAACAAGATAAGTGGATGAGAGGAAGAGATTGATGACGAAAAAAGTTAGGAAATCGGTAAATATTACATGGAAAATGACGTGTGTGATGGGATTCCACTACGAAATAACACATTGTGAATGGTAGAGGAAGCTACCGAGCACAGCAGATGGCTACTGAATGTCCCAGAGTAAAAGCAAAATGAGACGTCCATCTGGTAAAACTGCGCACAGGGTGTGGGGTGGTGAAAGGACGGCGGGACGCTCACCGTCCCCCCCGCCAACAATGAATGGTCAAATGAGTTGAGGAGACTATTGGTCCCGCGCGGGGACACACTCACAGTGCGCGCACAAACACACATAATACACGGTGAGGGCGGTGAGTGTGGTGAATGCGCGGACCATACGAGCGTCGAAATGGTCCGTCCTCATTGAGAAGATAATGAGAGATGAAGAGACGCAGACAAAAATCGGACGACCCTATGCAGAGAGGACGGGGTCAACGGTCCGTCCACTATGCTTAAGAAACACTACAAATCAATAACCTGTCTATTATTGGAGTGAGGAGACTGTGTGGTTGGTGGGGCATGGGAAAAAGAGTCTGGGAAAATCTAGGAGAATGAAGACCTATGATGTGGAACCGAATGGTAGGAAATCCAGGATGAGCTAGAGGACTCAACTGTATAAATTATCAACTATTTGTTTGCATCGCAGGTGCAATTCAAAAGGAGATAAGTTAAGATATGCATCTCTTGTAGACACTACCACTACACTTATCACATCTTATCTCACAAGGCCGTCACCTCGACCGTCTCCAAGATGCCTATCATAATTATGATGAGAACGCCGTACAAGTTTTGAGTCACGTACGCATAAAAACGGAACACATCAAAAGTGAGCCATTGAGCTAACACTTATAAGGAAATAAAAAGAGCTTTTATCAAAAGTTGTAAAGCGTGTGGAACGTTTGATGATGGACGACAAACATAGCTCACGCATGTGGCCGCCTTAATTCCCTTATATGTCGTTGTTTGAACTGTAGAACGGAAAGTGAGAAATGGGAAGAATTGGTCACTCTCTCTCTTTTGGTCAGTACAGCATAGTACCACTTGGGAGAAAGGTGTGCATAATGGATAAAGGGTCCGAGAACGAAAGTGGTAGTAAATCAAAAAATCACACATACTCGCACTATTGGAAACAGAGGACCTCTTGAGACAGACGTTTTTTCATCCATATGATTAATGAGGGGTTCCCCCACACATTAAGAGGTCAGATGATGCAAATTTGAGAATCAGATTACGGTATCGATAGTTGTAAATATGTTGGAAGACACTTGGCGTATGTAAAAAGAGCACATAAAGAACATATACATTACCAGACAGATGTGAGCATATGCTGCCGCTGATGCTCAAAAGCGCCGATTTCCTGCGCGGCACATCCGATGCGATAAAACAGAGTAAAAATCACCTGTCGCTTCAGAGTACCAAAGTTAAAGGAAAACCGCGGTGATTGCAAAAAAGAAACGTCTCGGAGAGTGGGAGGAGACAAAAAAAAGTAACGGATTTTTTGATTCTAAGATTTGTTCTGTTTGAATTAATCGAGCAAATACATTCGTATCTCGTATCTCTTATTGAATGTCGCAGAGCAGTGGATAAACGCAATGACACTGATACTGTGCCATTTAGGATCGTGTTTACATACACACTTCAGATATTGGAAGGCTCTTGTTCTACGTGTTCATCTTCATTCTTCTTCTTTTATTCTAGATGATGCACTAGGCACCATCATAATGAGATGAGCATGTTAAGACTCAAGATTCGCGGGGGAGGTCGAAACAATGGAAGTGAGCGGATGAAGAAAAGCGGGTAGCGAGTTAGAACAAAAGGTCAAAAGGGAACAAAGTAACAATTGGAACAAGTGAAAAGCCATATGTCTGAATGAAACGTTGAATGAACTTCTAAGACTTTCCACTAAATGAATTTCAAATCTTTAGAAATTTCTGAATCCTCCTGAAACAAGGCACTCAATTTCCGAATCAAGTAGTGATTGCTGTTCTTTTGAAAATATTTCAAAAAACTGTGCGAGTGAGCTTAATAAACTCTCGCATCACTGTTCTATCAAAAGTGTGAAACTGTGCGTCTGAGCTGTTAAGCGCGGAATCGGCAAAGATTCGCAATCAAAATAAATTGGCGGGTTAGTGCAGCAGTCGACTTTCCCCTCCCCTATTTTCTATCAAGAGTAGATGATCAAATAGATCGCAACTCAAATTGATGAAAGCACCACACAAACATTTAATAGGCACATTCTTTTCTTGATAATTGTTAATTTCGGGGCTCTCTCTTGACTACTCGACTTTTGTAAAAGTTTTTGCGTGTTATATGTATTACGTGAGGATGTTTTACTTTTTGATGAGTGGGTTGGATGTTCTATGAGATTTGCTGGGATTGTCTGAAACATGGGTAGCAAACTTACCGTAAAACCTCTTATAGAACAACACCCGGATCGTCCACTTTGAGCCTATATATCTCACTTCTTTTGAAAGGTATCAAAAAGTGGTCAACTAGTAAAATGTTTATCAGGGTATCAGCAACATTTTACTAGTTAGCCACTTTTTGATATCTTTCACAAAAAGTGAGATATATAGGCTCAAA